AAAAAAAAAAAAAAGTAGCCTAGCGTGGTAGAAATTGGAAAAAAAAAAAGAAAAAGAAACAGTAAAAAAGATCAAAAGGCCAGATGCAGTGTCTCATACCTGTAATCCTGGCATGCTGCAAGGCTGAGGCAGGCGTATCACAAGGTCAGAAGATCGTGACCATCCTGGCCAACATGGTAAAACCCCATCTCTATGAAAAGTACAAAAATTAGCTGGGTATGGTGGCAGACGCCTGTAATCTTAGCAACTCAGGAGGCTGAGGCAGGAGAATTGCTTGAATCTGGGAAGCAGAGGTTGCAGTGAGCCAAGATCGTGCCATTGCACTCCAGCCTGGGTGAAGAGCAAGACTCCATCTCAGAAAAAAAAAAAGAAACCCATGGTGGTGGATTAGCTTAAGGCCTGGTGTGAGGCAGTTGGATATTGAAATCTGTTAAGGCTGGGCAGAGACTTCAGAAATAGAGTGGGGAATTTCTTTTCTTTCTTTTTTTTTTTTTTTTAAAGATGGGGTTTCACCATGATGGCCAGGCTGGTCTTGAACTCCTGACCTCAGGTGATCCACCCACCTCAGCCTCCCAAAGTGCTGGGATTACAGGCGTGAGCCACCACGCCTGGCCCAGAGTGGGGAATTTCTATTGCCTGGTGAGACAGAGGGAGACTTGATATGGGCCCACTGTGAGATAGACCTGATGGTCAGCTCTGCCTCATCTCTTAGGCTAACAGTGTAATAATCATTTGCTTCTCTCTCCCAACCTCCACCATCTCCTAAGCTTTGTCAGTTTCTATTTCCAGAATATCCCTATTTAATTCTCAACTCAAATTCTGCCTTCTCCAAGCAGATCTCTAAGAAATTAGAAGGAAGTAGTTACTCCAATTAAACTCAGGTTTACCTTTCACTGTATTTTTTCAGACTTTGTACTTTAAATACTTATTAACATCTGCCCTGCAGTGCCTCCCTCACTAAGTATTAGCTCCTACGTATTAGGAATCCACAATACTTATGACAGTATTTTTTATGCTGTAAATTCTCAGTTAATATTACTGAAAGTCTTCATGCAGTGCAGTTGCAATACTCAATCCTTCATCCACTAGCCTTTTAGTTATTTTTGCATGTGTGTATAAGCTTCCTTATTATGTTTCAGTAGCCCTTATAAAATGATTGTAATTGTCATATGCCACTGTAAAAGTGAGGCACTTTTAGAACATTAAACTAGACATGTATCTCTACAGTCTTTATATGCAATCTTTTTTGTAATATTGCAAGTTTTTGCTGCTTTTTTGAAATAATCAAATATGAAACAGGTAATATAAGTTACAATCTAAGGCTAAGGCAAATTTGTTCATCCTATTAGTCATTTGGTTCATTCGAATGGCTGATAATAGAGTTGAGTGTGAGAATACAGTAAAAAGCAGGACTTTTCACTGGAGACTTTTTAAATGTCCTGGTAGCCCTGACAGTCTTTTCGTGCTGTTTTTAAGTGGGCAAATTGTACCTCACTTGTTGTAACTTGGAGACCTTCTTGAAGTACTTTAGGATCTTATTTCGAGTCTTTTAGCCCTTTCTGTGAATTTCTGTCATCAAAAGAAGTAATGTTTCTATAGGTTTCACTAAAATAATACTAATTTGGAAATACTAATTGTAAATTCTTTTCTATAGCCCAAAGCTAGTTATACTATATTTCCTATGAACCTTTTTTGTGGAATGCTTCAAGAGCTACAATATTCAGTCTCACTTACTTGATTTTATGTGAAGTCTTAGTTCTAATTGTATAAAGCAAATAAAGGTATGTTTTCTCAGCAGAGAAAAATCAAGCAGAATCATAATTACTTTGGCATGTAGCACAATGAAGAGGAGTCATCATTTTAGGGGATATTTTTTGTTTCTGTAATGAAATCAGCGAAGTTAAATGTGTATGAGTGTAGCAACATCCAATGGGCTATTTTACTCTGAGCGGGTAGTAAGTTTTCAGTTTGTTGATACGCAATAAACAGTTGAATTGTCTCTGTTAAATGTCACTAGTACTTCTCATTATTTTTAGAAGTCACAGGCTGTAACTGACAAGTCAGAATACAGAGATAACTTAGAATAACCCTGCTTTAGTATCAGCAAGTCTCCAGTTACGCTGCTTTACTGAGTGTTTTGTTAGACTATTTCTGGAGATTGGTTCAGTTATAAGCAAGCAGAGCTATCAGAAAATGCCAGGTTCACTGACCTGATTTCAGAGGCCATCTTTCCAAATCAAGTTTTCCTATTTCCAAATATGATGAAAATGTTTGCCAATTTTGTCAATTAATTGCATTATTTATGTTAATTCATTGTGGTATTATTTAGTTATTTATTTTAATTTTTTTTTCTTGAGCCGCTGATTTTACTATACATTTGGGCTACATTTTTCTTAAGAGAATCACCACAAAGTAATAATATAAATACCTTTTTTAACGTGAAAAGATATAAAATCTCTTTTAATAACTTCACTTATCCATCATATAATATCAAATATACCTGTAATCCCAAGTATGATCCTTTTGAGAAGGAAAGAAGTCAGATCAAATACATCATTAAGGAAAAATATGCACACTAAATAGACAACTCTACTGGGACAAAGACCATTATTTTGCATATTTTTTCATTCCCCAATTTCTGACAGGATTCTCAGAATTGTTTCTTAGTTAATGAACAGCAAATTGATTTATTGGTTAAATTAGCAACTATGGAGCTATCTAACAGTACAAAATAAATAAATAATTCACCAGAAACTAGCTCTAAGATATTAATTTTAATTACTTTGCAGCAACATAATTTAGTATCAAATGTTTCACAAGTACCCATTATAATTGCTAAACTGAAGTCACTATTATTTGTATCTGACCAGCTATACAAAACTGATCAGTTTTTCTCTTAACAAAAGGTAGTAAAAATTGCAAACAATAAAGAAGACACTACTCATTAAAAGTCACGTTTACTATTCTCTGAGTAGCTGAAAAGAAAGAAAGAAAGAAAAAAGTCATGTTTACTAATCTAGCACCATAAATCCAGTCTTAGAACCTCCTGTGCAGTTAGAAGGGGAATACAGGAAGAGGTGAATATGTTGGAAATGTAGGGTAGCTCTCAAATTGGGGTCCCATTTTGCTTGCTCTAAAGCAAAAAACGCAGGGTCTAGCAAAGAAGAGGAGCGCTGAGGCTGAAGATGAAAACAAAAGCTTTTGGTTCAGATGGTAAAGGAGGCCCTCAAGAGCAGTAGAATCAGTGTATCCCGAAGGCAGTAATGGAGGCAGTCTCATGAACTAGGGGTTTTCTTCTTGGCATCCAAGTCCTTTTTAATTTCTTCAAGTTTTTTAGCCAGGATTTGGTATGTCATAGTTCTGAGCCAGATGCATTCCAACCACGTTGCCCAATGTAAATCCAAGCAGGAACTGGAGCGTGATGTCGGTGGGGAGGGCGAGGAGGGTGCGAAGGGCGGCTGCAGCTCCGCAGCTGGTCCCATTGTTGTATTTTTTAAAACTTTGTTCCTTATGTTTCTGTATTTTGTTTTGTTTTGTTTTGTTTTTTTGAGATGGAGTTTCGCTCTTGTTACCCAGGCTGGAGTGCAATGGCGCCATCTCGGCTCACCGCAGCCTCCGTCTCCTGGGTTCAAGCAATTCTCCTGCCTCAGCCTCCTGAGTAGCTGGGACTACAGGCGCGCACCACTATGCCCAACTAATTTTTGTATTTTTAGTAGAGATGAGGGTTTCACCATGTTGACCAGGATGGTCTCGATCTCTTGACCTCCTGATCCGCCCGCCTCAGCCTCCCAAAGTGCTGGGATTGTAGTTGTGAGCCACCGCACCTGGCCTCTGTATTGTTTTTATTGAAAAGTCAGTAAAGAAAAGTAAATAGGGAATAGAGATGCTTACTTCTCAATAAGTGGACTTTGAAAGTGGTTTTTTTAATTAATATATTTCCGTGTTCAGGGATTAGATTATATAGTGCCAGTGAGGTACCTGAGGATTAGGAAAGAAGAGGCACGTTAGATGAGACTGACGCACTACATACTGTGCTAACGAGGTACCTGGGGAGCATGTTATAATTTAGGGTATGTGGGCTATCATTTTCATTAGATTACAGTTGCCAGGGTAAGCAGATCCTGGGGAAGAAAAAGGGTTTCTCCACCATCCATTCTGCTGAGGCTGCTCAATTCTCTCTCCACACAGCCCTAAACTCTTAAACCCAGAACTTTTAAATTCCTAGAAGAAAAAGGGCTTAAATATATCTTACATACTTTTCCTTTCCCCCTTCACTTAAATTGACTAAAATTAACTGTTCAACATCTTCATCTTATGTTTCAGGTAGTGAACTGCTTAATAAATGTTGTCTGTCTACAGTTGTCAGCCAAAAGCCTCAGCTCATGTTGTATTCTTTTTGCCTGGCAAGTCAGGAGACCCTATTTGGAGATGATTCCATTTTCTTTTTCTTCTTTCAAAAAACACTAAAGCCTACAGAACCACATTTCAAAAATAGGAGCATTTATCTTGCTAATCTTTCCTTCTAATTCTTGATAAAGGAAAGGAAAAAAGTGCATCGCAATACTGAAATTTAATCACTGGCCTAAAAGTCTTTGACAGTCTTCACAAAGACATTAAATTCTTTTTTCTATTTTTAGTAATTTTATCTGAATAACTGAAACACTGAGCATTTAAGCAGTTTCTTCTTCCTTCATTTCCAAATATAAGACAATTTTTTAAGAGAATATAGGCAGAGCTGAAGTGACCATTTGAGAATCATTTAACTGGTAATTTCTTTAAAATAGTCTATAGCAAATGTATTAATTTTTTCAGATATCATTTTCAGATATCATTTCAGATATCAAATTCATTTTTTTGTAGAAATTAGTATAATAATTACCTTATGGTTATTTCAATGTGTTGATAATATTACACTTTCCCAGAGCCAGCAGGTATTCTCACAATGACTCATGGGGTCATTTTTAGTTTTTCCACTTATATGATTGGACACTGCCTGGAATAGTATCCTGGAATAAGTGTCAGGAATATCTTCCTTTTGTGGTGGAGTTCTCACTGCCATGAAGGGCAGTATTTATACTGGGAAATGGAGATAACGGAAGATCCAGAGAACACAAATTGGCCCTGGGTCACATGACTAGGCTTCCTAACAGTGCTCCAGAAGGAATGCTCAGTTTCATAGAGCAATATGTGTTTTTTAGAAAAACTTGGAATCCTTTTGCTAATGTAGTAAATATTGGGGGCAAGTTGAAATTTTGTATTTCCTAACGTCTTTTATTTATGCCTAGATGATGGACCATCTGGACTATGCAACAAATGAAGAAAACCCTGTGATGTCTGGTGAACAGATTGTCCAGCAGTAATAATATGTGGAACTGCCATAATGTGTCACTGATTTTCTGCAAATAGACTTTGACTTTTTAAATTGACTTTTGAATTGACAATCTGAAAGAGTCTTCAATGATACGCTTGCAAATATATATTTTTATGAGCTGGTACTAACAGTTACATCATAAATAATTAAAATGCTTTGCTTTTAATATTAAAGTTGTGCCTTCACATTAAATAAAAGCATATGGTCTGTGTAGTTACCGAGATGTATTATATACAGTATATTTTTCTAAAAAAAAATTGCCTTGATCCACCCCTATACTTTTTTACTAAAATCTGTTTTTTTCAGCTCTAATGTTAGATAAAAGTATTATTATCAAAGTGAGTTTCTGAATGGGTTTTACTGTAAAGAATTATGCAAATTATTTCTGCTCTATAGAAATAACTAAGACCATGCAAGAAGGCGTTTCAGCAATGAAAATTCACACCTTGTATCACTGCAGAGGTTAGAAATACGTAATTTTTGAAAAAATATAAGTGCATATTTTTGTAGTATTTTTTAAGCCCAATCTTTTCATAAACTTCAGAACTGAAAATTACTTCAGACTGCATGTGTATATTACGAACATTTTTCCATGTATAGAGAAACATATAGAACAAGTCACTAAAATTAGGAGACAAACTGAAATCTAGTTTTCATTGATCTGCTGTTTTTTTGAAAATGTAGCTTAAATTTCAATATTAACATTTAGTTTCACTTTGGTATTTCTGATCTTTGAAATTTGGTTCTTTGATGTTAAGGTTTGATTTTTTTTAAATTATTTTTCTTAAGAAATTATGTATTAATACATATGGCTCATTGTTGAGTACAACATTTCTAAAATTATCCCACATTCTTCCGCCCCACCCGTTATCTTTTTTTTTTTTTTTCCTGATTCCCTCCTCTTACCCCATAGGTAATGACTGTTAATCTTGGTGGAGGATGTACAAAGTGTGGTTCAGAGGAAAGAATTGGCAACAACAGCAAGAGACTTGGTGTTAGTCTCAGTTCCATTGCAACAACAAGGAAGAGTTGAGTAATTTGCCGCAGCTCAAGACACTGGTATCTCAGTTCTCTCATTGACAAAATGAGTAGGTTAGACCAGCTAATTACTCTGGTACCTTCCAACTTGAAAAAACTTTTTCCTCATTCTTTGATAATTTTCATATGTGGCCTGAACATTCTCCTGGGAGTCAGAGGTCAAATTATCTTTCCATTTTCTTTTATTTTATCTAAGAAATTCCAAAATGACAAGTGATAACAAAGGCAGCAGGATTTTTCATTTCTCTAAATAATGTATAAAATATGTGAACAGATCTATATCTTTCATCTAAGTCCAGTTCAACTTATTGAAAAATAAACCTAATGACTCTTAAAATGGATTAGACCTTTGATGTTTGAACTAAATTTTGTGTTAGACACTTTATAAAACTTGTTTGCTTTTGCTGAATAAATTGCAAATAGAGAAGCTCCACTGACAATCAGTCCCTCTTTCTGCTTAATGCAGTTATAGGTCCTTTCATTTATGGCAAATGACCTACCTGACAGGAGTTAATTTTGCCTCCATTGTATCAAATTTGATTTTTTTTCCAAGGAATCTAATTTATTTGGCAGACTCTGAGAGAGAAGAACAGATTAAGTGCCACTTCCCCCGACCAGTGCCATTTTTAAACTCTTAACTATATTTTCATTTATAATATTCATAAAGTATTTGCCAAAATACGGCTTTTTTTGTAAAATTACCTGCACCCTCATCCCAGCTTTATGATATTTAAAAGCCTCAATCACATTTTATGAAGAATGTTAAAATTACTCGGTGTTTTTTTTTTTACTACATTGAAATAATTCCTCAAAATAATTTGGTTTCATCTAGCTGGAGTAGTAATTAATATTTTAACTTCATCATCTAGGTTTTGCTCCTCAATAGCATAGTAACTGGTGCATCCAGAAATCTGAAATCTGAGTTATTTGATACAAATTCGACTTTATCCAACCATTCGTTACTAAGGAGGTAAAATCTTGTTCTAATTTGCTATTAAAATCTTATTGGTTAAATAGAAATGAGAAAAAGTGTAATTACTTGAGTTTCTTCATCCTCAATTTCAACTTTATATTGTAACTAAATGTGTAGCAACCAAGCTGAAAATAGTGATTAAGAAATTAACATACAGAAATATTTTATTTGGGGACTCAAAATGAACAAAAGAGAGAGCGGATGAAATTTGACTTTTTTTTTTTTTTTTTTTTTTTTTGAGATGGAGTTTCGCTCTTGTTACCCAGGCTGGAGTGCAATGGCGCGATCCTGGCTCACCGCAACCTTCGCCTCCTGGGTTCAGGCAATTCTCCTGCCTCAGCCTCCCGAGTAGCCGGGACTACAGGCACGCGCCACCATGCCCAGCTAATTTTTTGTATTTTTAGTAGAGACGGCGTTTCACCATGTTGACCAGGATGGTCTCGATCTCTTGACCTCGTGATCCACCCGCCTCGGCCTCCCAAAGTGCTGGGATTACAGGCGTGAGCCACCGTGCCCGGCCGAAATTTGACTTTAAAAAGCTGTCATCTTCTCCAAGATGGCGGCGAAAAAAAAAAAAAAAAAGCCGTCATCTCTTCCTCTCTTGCACTCCCACCACCAGTGATTTTAAGAGGAAGAGAAGCTGCTTTTTCCCTAAACATGTCTTTAATGATACACTGTATTAATTATTGTTCCAAAAAAATGTTCTTAGAAAATTCCTATAAACATTTTTGTGGCTTATCAAACAGAAATCACTATCTTAAATTATAATATAGATTGCTTTTACCTTGATTTAGTCTAGCAAAACTAAATGTGAGGCTTGTGGGGAAGACCTTGATATTCTAATACATTATATTTTCTTCTAGCTTATGGATTTTTTTTTCTTGAGACCAAGCTTTGCTCTTGTTGCCCAGGCTGGGGTGCAATGGCACGATCTCAGCTCACCACAACCTCCGTCTCTCAGGTTAAAGCAATTCTCCTGCCTCAGGCACCTGAGTAGCTGGGATTACAGACAGGTGCCATCACACCCGGCTAATTTTGTATTTTTAGTTAGGGACTAGGTTTCTCCATGTTGGTAAGGATGGTCTCAAACTCCCACCTCAGGTGATCCTCCTGCCTTGGCCTCCTAAAGTGCTGGGATTACAGTTGTGAGCCACTGCGCTCGGTGCTTGAGGATTTTTTTTTTTTTAGATTAGCAATTCCTTATTAGTAGACTCTACAATTTATTTCTCTTTTAAAGAAAGAGAATTTTAACCCATCTTCTAATGGCATTCATATATTTGACTTACATGTCCATAGAGATTTTAGTGAATTGATACATTTATAGTAAATACAAGTGAGCTTTCCAGATTTCATTGCTCTTTCAATTTATGCTTTAGTATAAACAAAAATTATTTTTACATTTTTAAAAATTGTTGTGGATACATAGTAGGTGTATATGTTTATGGGATGTTTTGATACAAGCATGCAGTGTGAAATAAGTGCATCATGGAGAATGAGGTATTCATTTCCTCAAGCATTATTCCGTTGAGTTACAGACATATTTTACATTTGACTTAAAAATATTTGAACTAAGGCCAGACGAGGTGGCTCACACCTGTAATCCCAACACTTTGGGAGGCCAAGACAGGCATATCACGAGGTCAGGAGTTCGAGACCAACCTGGCCAACATGGCGAAACCCTGTCTCTACTAAAATTACAAAAATTAGCCAGGCGTGGTGGTGTGTGCCTGTAATCCCAGCTACTGGGGAGGCTTAGACAGGAGAATTGCTTGAACCTGGGAGACGGAGGTTGCAGTGAGCCAAGATTGTGCCATTGCACTCCAACCAGGGCAACAGAGCAAGACTCCATCTCAAAAAACAAAAATTTGAACTAATTTAAGCTTGATCTCTAAAATTTCAGCCTGATTTTGACCAATGAAATTTTTCCTTTTTTTGTTTTTTTAAATTTTTATTATTTTTTTCTACACATTCAGAGAAACTTCTCTAGTAACACACTATAGAAATGATCCCTGAAAGTATAGTCTTTTTTTATTTGTTTTTTAACAATGGAATTTCAAAAACAAAAATTGTACTTCAGTCTACAATTGAATGGAATTCAGCATAGACCAGTACAATAAAATATACTGGCCTGAAAGGCTTTATAGTTTCCCATTGTTAAGAAAAAATTGAATTTATTTAGGATGTTGCTGGATAACTAGTGCTACAATTTAAAAAATAATTCATTAGCAGTGCCTTATTTACCTTAGAGGAAATAAAGGGGTTAGTGAAGATAATGCTAATAAAATCAAATTATCAAATATAAGCCGAGTGTGGTGGCATGTACCTGTAATCCCAGCTCTTCCAGCTATTCGGGAGGCTGAGATGGGAGGGTCCCTTGAGTCCAGGAGTTTGAGATTGCAGGGAGCTGTGATCGTGCCTGTGTGACAGGCACTCCAGCCTGGGTGACATAGCAAGACCCCATCTCAAAAAAATATATATACTTCTACACTTATAAAATAAATACGCATTTCCTGGAAGAAAGGTACTCTGTAAATTAGAGATCTGAATCAAATTACTCAACTTTTTGGAATTTGATCCTCTAATACTCATGTGAGATTACTGAATTTTCAGAGAAAAAAAATTGACAGGATAATATATAGGCTGTATTTATAGTGAAGATCATAAGTATAAATTAACTTGTTTAATGTTTCCATACTTAGGACAGCTTCTATATAAAAATGTTCATTGGAAGAAAAATAATTTTTAAAACTAAATTTGTATAGTAGTCCTCCATTACTGGCAATTAGGGAGCAACCAACAAAATGGAGAATATTTAATGCCATTATGTGGTTCTTTGATTAGGCATAAAAAGGATTGCAAACAGCTTTTCTTTTCCTTTGGAATATGAATCTTTTTAATGTCTAAACATTTTCTAGTAGGACAAGTCAATGTAAATTAGGTAATTTTTGCCTGTTTTATACCTTCTGTTGTATTTTGTTCAAATGAAAACATTTAAAAATTTTTGATTGAATGTTTACTACTCAGATAATTGGTTTGAGTGTGGAATTTCTTTTTTAACACTTTGATATGTAAGTGTAATTAATGACTTTTATAACACTAATAGGCTTTATATTTTATGGAATATGTTTTAAAATTTGAAATTTTTGAAGTGTTACTTTAGCAGTACTTTAAACTATCATTATGTGCCAGTACTGACAAGAAAAACAACTTTTTATGTATTTAATTTACTGTGGTATTCAATAAATTCTATTTTAAAATAAAATTTGAATTTGTTTTATTTTGAATGATGAAAAAATTGAAAAAGAAGCAACAGTGTACTAGATCATGTTCATATAACACAAAAATGGTAATAATTGCTTGAGAAATTGTGTATTTAGTTCTTACAAATTACCCTTTTTTTTTTTATTTTTTTATTTTTTCTTGCATTGGAAACAAATTCTCCTTAAAACCTAGAATCTGGCCGGGCGCGGTGGCTCACGCCTGTAATTTCAGCACTTTGGGAAGCTAAGGCAGGCAGATCACCTCAGGTTGAGAGTTCAAGACCAGCCTGACCAACATGGAGAAAACCAGCTCTACTAAAAATATCAAATTAGCTGGGCATGGTAGACCATGTCTGTAATCCCAGCTACTCAGGAGACTGAAGCAGGAGAATTGCTTGATCCTGAGAGGCAGACATTGTAGTGAGCTGAGATTGCACCCAACCAAGATAGCATCATTGCACTCCAGCCCCGGCACTAAGAGCAAAACTCGGTCTCAAAAAAAAAATTTTTTTTTGAAATGTTAGTTTAACAGTACCTTAAGCTATCATTATGTGTCAATACTGACAAAAACAATTTTTTATGTATTTAATTTACTATGGTATTCAATACATTCTATTTTAAAGTAGAATTTGAGTTTGTTTTATTTTGAATGATGAAAAAATAATTTAAAATGTAAGTTTGCTAGATCATGTTCATATAACACAACAATGGTAATAATTGCTTAAGAAATTGTATAGTTAGGCCGGGCACGGTGTCTCATGCCTATAATCCTAGCACTTTGGGAGGCCGAGGCGGGTGGATCACGAGGTCAAGAGATCGAGACCATCCTGGTCAACATGGTGAAACCCCGTCTCTACTAAAAATACAAAAAATTAGCTGGGCATGGTGGCGCATGCCTGTAATCTCAGCTACTCAGGAGGCTGAGGCAGGAGAATTACCTAGAACCCAGGAGGCGGAGGTTGTGGTGGGCCGAGATAGCGCCATTGCACTCCAGCCTGGGTAACAAGAGCGAAACTTCGTCTCAGAAAAAAAAAAAAAAAAGTTTTAAGGACCGGGCATGGCGGCTCATGCCTATAATCTCAGCATTTTGGGAGGCCGACACAGGCGG